CACAAAGAAACCGACGACAAACGTAACAGAGCTGCTGCAACAAGCTGCCAGTGGTGCTGCTTTGTTTGTTTCCCGCTGACAGAGCCGAGCTGTGTGTGATCACCGGCCATGTTTTCAGTGAACACAGAGACACAGCGAGGAGATATTCACAGGTTTTAACTTTAGTGTTTTTAAGGCCAACAAATTAACTGATTTTGCTCCAGTACATGTCACTGGGAGCTGGTCGGTAGCTTGTAGATCAAATATTAACATTTTAGTGCTCTTCAAAGCTTCATAAACAACCAGCATAATCAAAGATATTAAATGTAAAAATAATTCCCACAAGACACGACAACTTCCACACGTTTAGCCATCATTTAATGTGTCAGTGGTTTGTTTTAGGCTCTTTTTAAACAAGTCAAACTGATTTCTTGACATCCTTTGACTGGCCTTTTGTCCTTAGATGGGAACAAACAAGTGTGCGAGTCAATCTGGGATGACTGCGTACGGGACCAGAAGACATCTGTACGATCCGAAGACCCAGACGGACAAACCCTACGACCAGACCACCATCAGTTTGCAGATGGGAACCAACAAAGGAGCCAGCCAGGTTAAAAGCCCATCCTCACTTAGCTTCACTCTCACTCAGTATTTATTTTTAAATGTTATAAATCCCTACAGGATACCAAAACCAACCATTATGACTAACACAACACCTTATGGACTGGTACATGTTCACACTGCTGTGGCACCATGTTATGCCCGTTTCAGTCTTTCTCTTCATAGCTGATTACACCTGGTGAACAACTATATCTGGATCATTTTTTAAAGTCACTTCACCCAAACTACAGAACAAACAAGATCACACTTTGATCATTCTGGCATCCGTCTATGCAGCTTCATTTAGTTTATCCTTGTTTTGACCTCTCAGTCTCTGAGGTTTGTTCCTCATACAGTCGAGGGAAATGTACGCCTGCACATAGGAATTCAAAAGCCACGGACGCGTGATTGACAGTTTTTAGAGGACCTGTTTTCTGACTAGAATGTAGTTCAGTGAACACGGTTCCTTTTGTGGATCCTTTAGAGTCACTCGGTGCTTTGAGTGGGGCCACGTTGTTTCAGTCTGAGTAACAGATCCAGGAATGTGAAGCATTTCAGACCCAGAACACCACACAGAGGATCGTAGCACCGGCACACAGGATGATCAGTTTGAATGACAGTTTNGTTTGAAATGGACAGGGTAGGCCCGTAGCTTTGACCAGTCAGTCGTCCACACCAATTCTCCATGCGTACTCCTGAAGTGGGCAGCTTTTCTTTATTTGTTATTGTCAGACTAAACAGAGATCACAGCATGCTCTACATAACAACACAGACACTCATTGGGTCAACTTGTTGTTGCAGCACCATGATCTTAAATCGTCTGTCGAGTTGCTGAATGAGCTCCTCCAGCTTCAGCTGTGCCTTGACGAAGTTCCTTCCTGGTAGACGTGTTCGATGATGAGACCCCTCATGGAAGGTTTAGTTGTTTGTTCAGAAATAAAAAACAAAACAAAATGTTTACCCTTTAATATGTTTCATAAAAGATAAGACACTGCTGTTTAGAGATGTTATATCTATAAGTGTCTGACTGAGGTGTAGGGCCGTTTGCCAGAACAGTTTCAGAGTGTCTTTGTTCTCCAAATGTGTCGACGTCTGCTGGAGGAGCGGGATGCCTCAAAAACACTGTGAAGGCCGTAGCATACGATATGCCTAATTTATATCCTTGTCAAGCCATTAGGGACCACTGGTCACTGATATTTGGTCTTCTAACTTTATAATTGTCACAAAGAGTCTCTGTGCAGACCAGCTGTCAGGAAGCAGATGGACAGATGTCAGACGGGTCCTCTCTTGGTTCTGTTCTGACCGTACTGGACACTGTAGCAGCATCTTTGTTAAGCTGTGGATGAGTAGAGTGTTAGTGGGACGTTTATGCAGCGTTAGCTAAAACACTTCAGGCTGTCTGTAGAGTTACTGGGAGGAGCATCACTACACACTAAGACTGTTTCACAATGATGAAAGTGCCAGAGAAGCTTTTAACTTAATGCTCCTTTGAGCTCCACGTGAGCGTCTCTGTCCGTTTAGTTGATGGTTTATTTAAGTATATCCATCACATGACGGCCTGGACATGGAGCAGATCATTATAATAATAACTATAACGGCCCCTTTCACACATGTACTCTATTCAGTTAATGTGACGGCAGTTTAACGTGTCGGCTTCGTGTCTAAACAGCACTTCGGTCGTGTTTCAGAACTTATAATAAATCTAAACTGAACTGGATGTTCGTGCAGCCATACTCTGAGTTGTCTGAAGTGACTTTGAAAAGGATGTTTTCACCTTTCCACGTTAATATTTCCTAAAAAAAAAAATATCACAGAGATGCAGTTTGTGTGCCAGAATCACAACTTTTTGTGCTCTTTGCTCTACAAGTTCAGATCTATCAGGCAACGAAATGAAAAGTACGTAATAAAACTTTACTGTGATGGAAACAGACACAAACAGCTTAAAGATTAATGATACCAGTTATAATGGAACCAGAGTTTGTTTTACCTACAAGATATTAAGAGGAGCTGAAGTTTGTGTCCTCCAGCTGTTTGGAACCGTTGGTTCTGACTTAGTTTAACACAGCCCAGTAGGTCTACATGTGTTCTTGTCAGAGAGGTGAGCTGTCACATGCAGAGTGGAGGCTTAGTGTCCAGCTGTTTATTACAAACCTGCAGCATCAGACGACAGGAGGATCCACGAGTGTCTCCACAGAGAGAAAGCTGCTGCATTTATGCACAGAGCAGCAGTGGCAGCTTCATTATTAGGTTTAACTATGAATTATTCAGACATGAAGTGAGATCAGGATCTAACAGCAGCTCTTTCAGTCTCTGTTTATGAATTCAGAGATAAACTGGCTGTTAGTTTTTCTGACACTTTGATCAGCAACCATTAGTTCAGTTTGAGATTATTATTGCATTGTTATGTATTAGGGGCTGTAAGGTGGCTCAGTGGTTAGCACTGTGGCCTCACAGCTAGAAGGTCGCTGGTTTGCGTCCCGGTGAGGACACCCGGGATCTTCCTGCGTGGAGTCTCCATGTTCTCCCCGTGCAGCGTGGGTTCTCTCCGGGTTCTCCGGCTTCCTCCCACAGTCCAGAAACATGTTGAGGTTAATTGGTGATTGTAAATTGTCCGTAGGTGTGAATGTGAGTGTGCTTGGTTGTCTGTCTCTAAGTGTAGCCCTGTGATAGACTGGTTACCTGTCCAGGTGAACCTGCCTTCACCCTGAGTCAGCTGGGATAGGCTCCAGCCCCCCATAGTGAGGGTTAAGGTGTAGATATGATGGATGGACGTTCTGCTGCACATATTACTGTTGTAGCAGCCATATTTGTTTAATGTTCTACAAAATAGTACTAAGAGCAACTACATCATTTACAAAAACATGACAACAGTTACATCTCTGATCACAAATTCAGTAACGACTGAAAAGGCAGACGGAGCGACTGCTGATGGGTTTGAACTGAACCACAGGAGGTTTGTTTGCCAGACTGGCTGATGATGCTGATGATACGAGTTTGTGAACACAGACTGAGTCTTTGTGTGGGACGGTGTTGCTGCACACCTTTGAAAATGGAGGAAAAGGTTGTCGTGTCTCCTATCTGAGGACAGGTCGGCTTTTGAAAATGTTGGTCGACGTGCGTGTCTGATGCCTTCAAGGCTGCTTAGTTTTACCTGTGTGTGTGTCTTCATGGTAATCAAGCCCTGACCCATGACCTGAGTCTGCCAAGGCCACTTCGTTAAAGCACACAAGTTGACTTTTCAACAGGAATTAAAACGTAATGATGGCCCAGTAAGTCCTCCTCTATGTGGAACACAGCCATCAATAATACTTCTCTGGATGTTACATGTCAACATGTTCATCTGTGTCTGAAGGTGGCATAATGCAGCTCTGTTTGTTTTCCCAAAGCATAGTAGAGATTTGGTGACTTTCTGTTTTATCTTTCAGATCGCTCAGAAATATGATCCACAAAAAGAAGAGGAGCTTCGCTTCTGGATTGAGGAGGTGACGGGGATGTCTATTGGAGAGAACTTCCAGAAAGGCCTGAAGGACGGCGTCATCCTCTGCGAGTGAGTTCTCTTCATGTTTGTTTGTACTCGTATGGCTGTTAATTCAGTCACATGGTGGCTTTTAATCTTCTTTATAAAGAAAGAAAGTAAGTTCCCATCATGTCAGTCATTACATTTCATTACCTGTTTGTTCTTTTATCAGGAGAAGGTTTGACTGAGAGTGAAGGTCAATCTGTAAGAACTGAATCTAATGAAGTCATTTAAAATGTGTATGAACTCTGTAGTAGAGATAAACCTTTGTAATGTTGATATCAGGTATTGGTAATCGAGAAAGGCTGATAACTGATATCAGGAACTGATATACATTAAAAGTTATTTATTAACAGCGTGTGATAGCAGGAAGCCTGTTGTTCATCACTGTGTTTGCCCAAATTAATGATTCCTGTTACTGGATTTATACACAGATTAAATGTGATATATTAGCAGCGTGTGATAGCAGGGATCATGTCATTCACAAGTCTTCATTAATAATCACTGCTGTGACTGAATATTTACAATAGAAACAGGAGTGATGACATTTGAGCATCACGTGACGAAGGCGTCTGTCTGTAACATTATGAACCTTCAGCTGTCCACCAGCACTCCTACCAAACACAACTCTGCTGACTCACCGATACGCCTGCAAATGTGCTTCCTCTCCCTCTCTCTGTGTAAACAATAAGTTTTATTAGTTTATTGGACGTTGCTCCTGATCTGTAGCAGACAGTCTGGTGCAGCTGTGGGTGGGAAACAGAGTGACGGCTCCACCAGAGCTAAAGCAGCACATTTTGTTTAGTTTGCAAAAACTGGTCAATAAAAATAACAACACCAGTCGTGTCGTCAGTTATCAGTGAGGCCGATAATCGATGCTCTGTGGTTGAGTGAATGCTGAAATGTGGCCGCATGTGTGACGGCAAAACTTGTACTACGATTAATTCTACACAGTTAAATATACCAAAATATCCCATCATGTTCTGATGCATGTTGTGTTCTCCTGTTTCTCTTAGACTAATTAATAAGCTGCAGCCTGGTTCAGTCAAGAAGATCAACCTCTCACAGCTGAACTGGCACAAGGTAAGACCGTCTGTCAGCGAACACAATGCAGGTCAGTGGAGGAAAGTCAGCGTCAGAAACCGTACGTTGAGCTTCCCTGAGACGAGTCGCAGCACGTCAGGCTCCGAGGAAACGTTTTAATAAAGAGTTCACTTTTCACCAACTGTGCTGTTCTTGCACTCTGTTGTGTGTTTTGTTCTGTCGCTGGTCCAGCCCCAGTCACTCCACATTTGCTTTTTTTTCTGTTGTTGTCTGCAGCTGGAAAACCTTGGGAACTTTATCAAAGCGATCCTGGCCTATGGCCTAAAGCCCAATGACATCTTTGAGGCCAATGACCTGTTTGAAAACGGGAACATGACACAAGTCCAGACCACTCTGCTCGCACTGGCTAGCATGGTGAGTATACACAGCGCAGAGGATCGGTGTCTGCAGGTCTGCACGGTCTCTGTTGTTATAAAACACAGATCCTGTCTTACATCGGTGCTTGTGTGTTTTTGTCAGGCCAAGACCAAAGGTATGGACACAAAGATTGACATCGGTGTAAAATATGCAGACAAACAGGCTCGACATTTCGATGACGAGAAGATCAAGGCTGGACAGTGTGTCATTGGACTGCAGGTAACTGATCCATGTTTAGTATATTGATCTGTAGGTATATCTGCTGTTCCTCCTGCTCCCACTGCCCTCCTCACTCCTGTTGTGTCTCCAGTGGGCATCAGCTTAACCATGCAGAGGACTCGTTAGATAAAGAGACACACTTCAGCTTCATTATTTGTCCCCGATGGGGCCAAATGCTGACACAAGCATTCACAACAAACAAACAATGGAAACAGGAAAAAACAGATTAAAGGAAGTGTTTTTTAAAAAAGTAAAGAAACACTAAAAACAGTTAAAAATTACACTAAACATAAGACAGACAGCGACATGAGCAGCAGTCATTCATTCATTCATTCAGTCAGTCAGGTGTATTCCAGTGCAACCAGTCAGCAGCAGCAGAAACCCAGTGCGTTACCTCCTCGTCTCCTCAGCGTTTATAGCTCAGAT